AAGTTCTCAGCGTACTATCGCATCTCTCGTTCGTAATGCCTCAGTTTGGCGGAGTCGCGTCGACGGCTGAAGGTGGTCTGCCGGAGCTGAAGCGCGCGTTTTACATGGCGCTCGACGTGCTGTCGTCCGATCAAGAGGCCTCTGAGCGGTTCGTCGAGGAACTGACTCGGGGCTGTGGTGCCTCTGAGAAGGGCAAGGGTTGGTCTTTTCAATCTCGAAGCGACTTCGAATGGTTTACAAGGTTTGTGCCCTAGGCGTGGACAATCTGCCTCGCCCACTACTGAATGCTCGCAAAGCATTCGCATTGGCTTGCGTCGAGCAGCTCGTGCCGATCTTGTCAGAGGAGACGATCCAGACGAGGGTGTATCCGCTGTGCTACCCGTAAGTCCCAGATCTGGCAAGGGTTTGCGTGTGCTAATCACGATATACAGACATCTCTGGGACCCGAGCTACAGAGAAACATACGAGTCTGCGCACTCTACCATGCTCGCCGTCTTCGCTGCGTACGCCAAATCCCACCCTTCCTCCGCCTCCCGCCAAGCGTCCCAAAACGATCCGTCGTTCGCTGAGAGGCTTGTACCCATGTACGCCCGGTGTCTGGTCGAGGTAGGCTGTTTCTTCACCCGTCACACACGTAGCAACAGATACCCATGCCCTCGTACAGAACGCGTCCGACGGGCTGCTAAGCACAACTCAGCTCTGCATGGCGTACGCCGCGCTCGTCCGGGGCGCCAGCGCCTTCCGAGGCGGCGCGCGCGAAGCGCAGCCAGACCCCGATCGCGACGGGACCGTGCACGGCGACGCGATGGCGTGGTTCTGCATCGAGACGCTCCTGGAGGCCATCCACGCCGCCCACCGTTCTCCGCCGTCCGAGCACCTGCACCGCCTGCACCTCGCGCTCGTCGCGACGGTGCCCTCCGTGTCGCTGGCGCTCCTCCCGCGGCTTCTGGATGAGGTCAAGGAGACCGTTCTCGCTTACGGTGACCCGTCGTCTGTGTCGGATGCTGGGTCTCCCGAGCGTGCAGACAGCGCCCGGGCGGGAGAGATGAGGGAAGAGCTCGTGCAGGCGCTGTTCAAGGCTATCTTGCACGACGTGGGAGATGCAGAGAAGGAGTACGTGATGGGGTGGTGGGATGAGCATGCGGGTTCTTTGGCTGGTCAGCCTCGCAGACATTCAACTGTGCATGCTGATGCAGAAGGGGTCACTGCTGGGCCAGAACCTGCTCTGGCGCGTTTGTGATCTTAATACTTCTGCGACTTTTGCATTCCCTAGGAATCGTGCCAGAGACCTTTCGAGATCACGCATTTCGCGCAGCAGCTGTCACTCAGCGGAACACATACTGTACGTATAACAACATCATTACGATACAAGTCAATTCCTCCAATCCAAGGTCAGTTCGAGGTTTCTACCGCTACGCGCATCGGCCACAAGCACCCGAGCTTCAAGCTCAACTTCGACACATGCCTGCATCCTATAGCTTCGCCTTATCGCCCGCCGCCTCTTTCTTCTTCGCCTCCGCCGCGGCGGCTCTCTCCATCATCTCGCGCGTCTCGGTCGCGGCCTCCGCGAGATAGTGCTTCAGCTCCGCCGTGCGGCGCTTGAGGCTCGTAATCGTCCAGCGGATGTAGTTGTCGCCGATCGAGTATGACAGGCCGTAGCCGTCGGGCACGACTAGAGACACGCACACGTCAGCATCAGGATCACCCACGTACAGATACGAGTCAGGACACAGGGTTTACCTTCACCGTAGCCCCAGCCGTCGAGGTAAGGCGAGGACAGCTGCGAGGTCGAGAGCTCCCAGTGGCTCGTCTTCGCGTACGCCTTGTCCTGGTATATCTCGGGCAGCGGTTCGCCCTCCCTGAGGCACTTCTTCAGCCCGAACAGGTGGCGGTCGACGCCCTGCCCGTCCGCGGCCCACGCGGCGTACTGCAAGTGGCGCGACACAGCCTTGCGGAACAGCGCCGCGCGTTGTTCGTCCTGCGACGCAAGCCACACACGGTCAGCTTCCTGCAGAATACTGCGAGGAGGATACAGGGAGAGGGAGATACACACCGTCTGCTTCGGGTCGAGCATCGCCTCCGCCCACGCCTTGCTCTCCTTGCTCGCGCTCCGGATGACCTCCGTCCTCCCGAGCTGGAACTTGCGCGTCTGCGCGCTCTCGTAGCACACGCCCGGGCGGCCGAACATCTTCTGGAACGCGAGCTGCTTCACCATCTGCGCCCACGCGTCCGGCGACGCCTTGTGGCGCTTGATGTACTCCTTGCCGTAGCCCTCGTAGTGGAGCACCTCCATGTCGTGCTGCGCGACGAGCGCGTCGAAGTGCGCCTCCGCGGCGGAGATGTGCGAGCGCGTGCGCGCGTCGAGCTCGAAGGTGAGCTCTTGTGGGGCCGGGAGGGCGGAGGCTGCGGAGGCGTCGAGCGCGGGGCCGAGGTCGACCTTGCCGTGTGCGAGGGAGGCGAGCATGAACTCGTTCATGCGCAGTGTTGGGGTGCCGTCCATGCACGAGTGCTCGCCTAGGAACCCAGACTTGCCGTTCTCGAACACGATCACTGCGAAAGCGGTGAGTTCGGACTATTCGAAACGGGCGCTTGAGACGTGCGACTCACGCTGGTGCTTGTCGAAGAAGCGATTCCGACCGTCGCCAACCCAACATTGCCAGCTTGCCTGCTCGCGCGTGACCGGCGCCGTGTCGTCCAAGCAAACTACCATGATCGCGCTCTCAATCTCCTCGAGTGCAGCGGCGTTGCTAGGTGCGGCGGCCAGGAGAGCTGCGCGGGCCTGCACATCGATATCAGCATCCGTCTACAGAGACGAGAATGCATCCGAGGCTCACGTCTGTCCAGGTGTCCCTGTTCTCCGCGGTGAGCGCACCGACGGGAGCGGCCTTCTCCTCCCCGGCCATCGAGATCACCTTCTTGATCTGCTCTTCGAGTTCCGCTGCAGTGAGCTCGCGTCCGGAAGCATCTGCGAGCGGGACTTTGAAAAACTTGTTCTTGCGCACAAACACGACATGGTTGTGTGTCTTCGGATCGAACTTCTTCGCCGTGTCCGCAGGTTTCGTCGGGTAGCGACATGAGTGGAACCTGAAGGATACATATCAGAGTCAGAAGGCAATTGGAGGCAGAGAGAGAGGAGACCCACAGCCATTCGTACGACGACATGGCCAAAGGCGCTCCGCGCACTTTCTCTGGCTCGAGCTGTCCGCTATGACATGCCCGTCAGCGAGTGGAAACACACACTGAACGACCAAAGGCATACCTCTCGACGAGATACCTAAACGGTAGCATCGCCTTCAACAGCTGCGCGGCCCTCTTCGCCTGACTAGGCCTTGTCCGGTCGTCCATGTGCACATAAAAGTAGCTCACGAACACCACTACCGGGTCGCGATACGCCATATAGGCCGTCTCGTTCCACCAGTCCGCGAGCCAGTTCTTCACGTTAGGATCCGCCGCGCGCGCCTGCAGGCGCTTCTGCAGCTCCTGCCCCTGCGCGGACTCGACGAACGCCTGGACCGCGCGCTGTGTCCGCGCAAACTGTTCGCGCGTCAGGTGTGGCTCGACGGTCTCGAGGTACTTGTGCGCGGTTGACGAGAGCGAGGGTACGGGAAGACGCGGGAGCGATGCTTCATACCGGAGCATCGGCCCCACATTTGGGTCCGCGACGTATCCTGGGGGCACGTCTGACGACGAGGAGACGGCTTTGCGCGATGCGGAGGACTTTAATGTGCGTGCTTGAGACATAGCGACAGGTCTACGGGACTGTTGGGACAGAGGAGAGATGTCAGCGACGACGTTCGCAGAGGTGCGCTCGTCATAAACGGCTCGGAAAAGAACCGGTGCATGAACGGTTCACGCGCCCCGCATTGCCCGAAATCACATTGCCAGGCAGGTTGGGGTCTGGGGTACGCGTACCTTGAGCAGCGGGGCGATGGCGCGCACAAAGGGCATGATAGACACACCTCCCAGCACGTATGGAGGGTCTCATACATATGCGCCAGGACGGGGCTACGGCAGCCCGCAGGAAATGGTTGGCCGACCACACCCTGCTCACGGAAATGCGTCGGTGGGGGATGCCCCCTCCGCATGCGCATGCAGTATGGTTCCGCTCCTGACCATTCCGACATCAGAGGAGCGGACAACAACTCGGAAGGGGGTTGCTGGATTCTCGGACGGGGCGCATGTGGAAAGTCGGTCTGCTGGAAACGCACAGTTCGCAGGATTCCATCCTTCCACAACTCTCCTCAGCCCTCATGCATGAGATCCGGAAGCTCGTTCGCAGAGGCCCAATAGCACGCGAACAGCATGAATATGGTAGGAGTCATTGATGGTGAGCGAGAGGACATCCCTTGAATGTCGCATTGCAGAGCAGAGGTTCAATGGTCGGTGCAACGCAAATGCGACATTCAAGATTACTCTCGCCTCGCGCCATCGCAGCAATGTTTCCCACCACTGGAGTACAAGCGTGTTCATAGCCCGGGCCGCAAGTATGAGCCGTCTTCCTCCGTTCCCACCATGCCCCCGCAGAACCCGCGAAGCACCAAGAAGCACCAAACAAACGCGAGGACTTACCAAAACAGACAGAGACCGGATCTGAGCGGTGCGTGCGGTTGATTGGAACATATAGCTTGTGCGCGTCGTCGTCGAGGGTGCAGCGGGTTCGGGTGCGGGCAGAGGCTCTCGGAGGATCTGCCTGACCCGGAAGGTGCGGGGTATATAAGGTGGGGGGGGGGGGGGGGTTAGAGGGGCGTTGTGGGGATGCGCAGAGATGCGGTGTTGCCGAGAGGGACTAAGCGATGGGCGAGTGTCCTGCAAAGCTCAGGTGGCCAGAGAGAGATGGCTCGAGGCTCTGGAGGAGGAGCAGATTGAGGTTAGACCCGCGCTCGCCCATAAGTACGGCCCTCCGGTAACGACCTCCCCCGCTTCCGGCACTCTGCCATCATCACGCGTTTTGTACCCAACGCCTCAGTCTCTCGGTTGCAAGAGGTCAGCAGTATGGCATCGGTTCAGTGGTGTAGTGGTTATCACACCTGTCTTACAAAGGACACAGGCGGTCGTCGGTTCGATCCCGGCCTGAATCAGTTTTTGTCACTGCTTGTACCTCTGCACAGACATCCCATCGTACATTAATGTGTTACACTGCAATCCACCTGTCCTATACTGCAGGTATATCCGATACGCCCACGGCACAACCTGATCAAGCACACAACTTCTCAGCAACTTCTTCCACCAGCTTCCGCACCTCAGCCTTCTGCACACCGTTCTCTCCGCACCCGCCTTTCCCGAGCTTCGTCTTGAGCGTGTCGCGCGATTGGAGCACTTCAAGCAGCGACGCCAGCTGGCTCTCGTAGAAAGGTGACAGTCGGAGCAGGAATGCCAGTGCAGCAGTGAGCCGATGAACTGGAGAATGAGACGTCAGTCGTGTCTCTTGCATTGTGTACGCCATGCGTTAGATGACTACTCACCAACTTCTTCGCTTTGAGTCTCATTGGAAATCGCCTCCAACACCGCACTCACGAGCTCGACCTCCCACTCCTCGTCCTCCTCCACTTCGACAGGCACCGCACCCGGCGCCGTACCCCGAACCTTCTCAACCCGACTCTTCTGCAGCGCCGCGGCAATGTTGAACGTCACGCTCGCCGCCGCCGTCCGCACCGCCGCGTCCTCGTGCAGGAGCGTCGAGACGACTGCACGCGTCAACGACGCGCGCTTTCCACCGGGAGACGCGCGCGAAAGCAGCGTCTTGCTCAGCGCTGCGTGTGCGAAGCCGTTGGCGAGCGTGCGGAGGACGGTGAGCAGATAGTTCCTTCCGCTCGACTTCTGCGCGGGGTCGGCGCTGTCGAGCACCCCGAGCGCCTTGTCCAGGAACAGTTGAAGCGGATCGGGGTTGGGACAGGTGGCAAGCCAATTAGCCACGCCATCGTCGAGTACAGCGAGCCTCCACATGTCTACCAAAGGGAAGAGCTGAGATGGAGAGAGTACGTTCGCTATACTCCTCGTGGTCGACGCCCAGCTGTTCAGTAGAGGCGTAGCGGCTGGTAGCGCCGGCTTCTTGGCAGCTTCTGCCGCTGTACCGTTAGATGGGAACCGAGCCTTTAGTAGTGGGACAACGGCGGCAGTGAGTGCTTGTTTCGCCGTTTGCAGTTCTGGTGATGATGGCGCTGCGTCAATGAAGGACGCTAGCTTGGCGGAGACGGTGTCCCAGGAGGGGGCCTGCGTGAACAAAATGGGATTTGTCGAGAGCGCTTCCACAGCTGGCAGCGAGAGCTTGGTGTGCGGATGGGCTACATGGACATATTCAGCTGACTTGCTTCGTCGATTGAGAATGGAGACCTACGAGGAAAGGCTTGGTAAAGCAGCATGTCAACTTGGGAGCGAAGCTCTGCAGCATTCGCACCCTTCATCTCGTCGAGCTGATGTTAACTGTGATTAGTATCTTCTCAACTTCGAATACATTTCAGAATGAGCTCACCTTCTTGCCATCAAGGAAGAACAAGAATGTCGGCGTCACTCTGACGCCCCACTCACCCGCGACCTGGTTGCCCATACCCACTGACAGATCCACCTTCACAAACGCAACGCGCCCACTTCCCATACCATGCGTCTTCTGGTGCGCCAGGTCCTCGAACACTGGTTCAATCATTCGGCATGGCGGGCATGTCGGCGAGGTGAACAGAACAACCGCGGCGCGATGCGACTGTAAGAGCGAGTGAAGCGAGGACGGATTGGTGCACATGTGTATCGCGCCGGCAACTGTTGAGCTCCCGGAACCGTTTGCGCTCCCATTGGCACTCGAACTGAGCGAGGGCATGCTTGCCGGCGTTGGCGCGGAAAGAGAGCCGGTGGAGTATGCTTGTGAGGCAACAGCCTGCAGAAGCGCAGAGGCGAGCGCGGGGTTGGGTGAGGCAGAAGCGGCAGCATTGAGAGTTTCGGGAGCGGGCATCTGGGGCATAGCAGGTGCAGCACCAGGCGCGGGACGACGGAACATCGCGTCTATAGTTGGACGAAGGGCCGCGCCAAAGGGTGTGGAGAGGAAGTCAGACGGAAGGTCTGGGAAGATGGCGTGAGTTCGATGTGCGCGCTTCCAAGGAACTCAAGTTCAACGCCGTACCTTTGATCCACGATGGTATCGAACCTCCGGTCAGGAAGCCGATGCAATCGTTCGTGAACGAATTGCAGTTAAAATCTAGAAGGTGGTACTATGGACGTGTTCAATGTAGGTCCAGTCAGGGATACGTAGCAAGAAGGGCATACTTTATCCGCGGTATAGTGTTCACGCATCTCGGCGAGATACTCGTCAAACGTCTCCTCATCTATCGACGTCTCTCCCATGTCTATGATGTGCAACGGCTTGCCATGCTACCAAGACAAAAATCAGCCTCCATCTCCGTCACGTTGGAAAATCTGCTCACTTACATGAGACATCCCAGGCTGAGTAATACATATGCCCTGTCCGTAGAATATCTCCTTCCCGAACACAACTACGGATGTATGCCTACACTCGTCATGTTAGACTCACTCGCTGCTAATTTGGTCGGTCAAATCACGTACCATATGCCATCTATCTGCCGACCAGTGAGTTGGCGCGACAGAGTCTTTGCGAGGCCATTGCTGAGGTCGTAAACGTAGAGTTGCACTTTCGCCATATATATCGTTCGGTGGCTGCGGATATTAAGCTGTATATAGTTGCTGAGAGAACGAACTGCGATGCGAAGCAGGAGTTATGGGGTCTAGAAGTACGTGAGGGCGCTCCTGACGGGAAAGTCGTAAGGAAGTAAGGAAGGGATGCGGACGCTGTGGACGGACTTGGGAGGGAGATGGAGGCGTTGACTGGAAAGGACTCGAAAAGCAGACGCGTCCCGATGACGCACTCACGGCACACAGATCGTGATCGGGGAACATGTCTAGGCGCCCGTCTGAAGACCATATTCAACGCCGGGCGTCTAAGCTTGCGTTTCTGACGATTCGAACTGCCGCTCGGGATCTCAGCTGACGCAGTGTCAACTTCTCTTATGGAAGGTTTCAAGCTTGAATGTACAAAGCGCCTGTCTTGACAAACTTCGTGATTGGAAGAAAAAAACTGCACTGCCCTTCCGGGAGTATCATCGACAATAGCAGACGCTATGCATACCGTGCCTTACGGACTTCGTGAGTGGGCGAGATGGTGGCCATCTGATACCTTCTTCTGCAATATTAACGTGATTCTCTCGTAATAAAAAGCATTACTGATGCACGATAAGGCACCTCTATAGGCCCCCAGATGGAGAGTACCCGGATGCTAAGGCTCGGCGATACCCACTGCTCGGTCTGGCACTTTGCCGCATTGGCACAAGCGGTCCACTAATCTCGTCGAACGGAACGCTCAGCGCTAGGTAGGCTCGCAGCGATGTGGATTCGCTCATTTCCGGCGTTCATCGAATTTACGAATGAATGACACTTGGCGACGCATGGACACCGTTCCGTCCTCGATAGTGAAGAGCTGCACGCTGTGGTTTGTCATTGGTGAGCTCCAATGCGTCAAAGTCTCTAGCTAGAGCGATAGCTGCCTTCACTCTGGCGAACCAACAGTTCGGCCGCTCAAGCCTCCAGGCTAGTGGTAACCGATAATTGTCAGCCGAAGCGCTGACGTTCGACAGCTGCTGGGCGGCTACCACAGTTCACTTCAAGCCTTCTCCAACACTGAGTACTTATGTACTGTATGTACTCAGTGAACATTGTCGAGAACCCAACGGGCTTCCATTATACCCTACTCGACGTCTGTGACTGATATCACGCTCAAAGACGGTCGCTCAATGATGCAAAGCAGAGGCGCGTTACACCCTGAGCCCAATTGGCGGTCTTCGGCGAAGCTTATATTCCAGCCGGCGAGTGCAACATGCGGCTACGTATATACCCCATACGTCAAGATAGGGCTTCTGGAAGGGTAGTCCGTGTTGAGAAGAAGGGCAGGCGGACGCTCTTTCAAACGGTTTGACGATATATATACACGCTGCGCTTCACGCATGGATCGCACTGTGGACCCTCTATTCTGCCTTCCATGGAGCTCACTGGCTTATTCCTTACAGTCGTTGTAGCCACCATCGGAGTACTGCTCTGCGTCTGGCGCAAGGTCGCCTGGAAGAGGCGCGCCCAAGGTCTGCCTTTGCCACCAGGTCCCAAAGGGCTTCCACTCGTCGGGAATATGTTCGACCTATCTGTGTCGAGACCATGGCTGGGTTTCCGAGCAATGCGCGCCTCCTTCGGTGAGTGATATCCCCCAATTCACCAACGTCCTCTGCTATTCATACTTCAATCAGAGGACCTCGTCTATCTCCAGACTCTCGGGCGCCGCTTCCTGGTTATCAGCGACCCCGCTGCGGCGTTGGAATTGCTGGAGAAGAAGTCTGCCAATACCTCAAGCCGTCCGACGCACGTAGTAGCCAACCTGTATGTATCCCTGTTATGAATATGGTGACCTATCTGACATAATTGTGCAGCATAGGGATGGAATATATATTCGGCTTCTTGCCCTACGGAAAGCTGTGGCGACGTCAGCGCCGTGACTTCTGGCATCACTTTCATCCCACTATAGTACCGAAGTACCGCTCTATCGAAGTCGTCCACACTCGTGTTTTTCTTCAGAGACTCCTCGAGTCTCCCTCAAAGCTGAAAGCTCATATCCGGTAGTAAGTCCGCCGTAGGTGTCCGGGATGATGTCGCGCAGTCTCTCACAAGCTACCCAGCAATTTTGCCACAACGATGCTACAGGTCATCTATGATATCAAGGTTCAGGATGAACGAGACGACTATGCTGTGATGGTCGAAGACTGTGTACGGATCATCAGCCAGGCAGCTCCAGGCCAGTTCCTTGTCGAAACGCTGCCCTTCCTCAGACATGTACCCGCGTGGGTTCCGGGAGCGGGTTTCCAAAAGGCATTTGCAGCAGCCAGGGCGGCTTACAGAGAACTCCAAAGACGGCCGTTTGCAGAGGCTAAGAGGTCCTTTGTACGTGTCAATGGTCTGTCAGTAAACGCAGAGGTCATTCACAAATTGATAGGACTCCCGTGACCCCGATATGCAGTCCAGTATCGCTGGCAGCTTG